GCATAACATGAAGTACATATTTGGCAACTATTTGAATTAATCTACTCAACAGAGAACGCTGCTGACTCAAAAGAGTTCCAGCCACAGTTTATTTTAACTCCATGTTAACTGAGCAATCTGTCCTGAAAAAAAAAAAATCAGTAGTTTTTGTTTACTTTATATTCTTTTTTCATCAGGATCATCTTTGGAGCTTTTATAAGCATACTTACTTAGACCTCACCTCAGAATTACTAGCTGGAATCTCCCAGGGTGGAGACTAGGCATATATACTTGAAAAAGACCTCCATGGGTAGATACAGGCATGGATGCACAGCTATGTGTGAGAACCCCGGGGCTTCCTTCTCACCAGTTCTATCATTCATTGACTCTATGGCAGGCACTTTCCTGAGTGCTTGACAAATGCTCTTTCACTTAATGCTCACAGCATCCCAAAATGTGACTATTATTTGTAATGCCCATTTCACCAAATGGAAAACTGAGGCTTAGAAAGGCTGGTCAAAATGCCTAAAGTTGTATATATATCAAGGACATGGGAGAGGCAGAACCAGAATTCATGTCTGCTTGAATACTTTTAACTGTGAAACCCCTGAACTTAAAAGCCTTTTTAATATACAGAGAGAAAATGTTTGGCTGTATTTTATAGCTGTAATTTCCCACCTAGAAGCTTCAATTTTGCTGCTTTGATTACCATAAGAATATCCAGAGCGTACAGAGATTGTTTCATTTTATAGCCTTAAAAGAGAGTCACTATTTTCGTGTGAAAAGAGACATGGTCTAATAGGTAAACGATACTTTAAAATTATAAGTAAAATGTTTTGCTTTCTTTGTATAAAGGTCACTTTTTACATCAGTTCTTAATTTACAACTCAAGGATCTGCCATAATTTCATTGCAAAAATTATTCAGATATGTGACAATGTTGGAAGGGCCTGATTTTCCTTCCAGGTTAGTTTCTTATAAAAATATTAACACTTGTCTAAAATCATTGCTGATAAATGCAGTTTCCAGAGTGGACTATGCAATTTTAAGATTTGTTCTTTCTGATTTAGGGCTGACACCAATATTTAGAATAGTGATGACTCATGGCTAGGGCTGAAATTTGTTTTTCATGGGTTTATACATTTTTCCCCTTGAATTGCACCAAAAATGGTTTTTTAATTGGCTTTAACTCATGCCCAATAAATTGGATGAGAATTGATTGCCGCAGTCATGTTTGGTTTAAAATTATTCAAGACTGCGCCATGAGTCAAATGAGTGCATAAGTGAAGGCAGTGGCACTTTATGTCCTCTGTTTATGACAAATAGGGGTTTTTCAAAATGGTCATAATTCCTATTTAAAAATTAATGTATGTATTCAGTTCTTAAAGCTTAAAATATAGTAACATAACACATGAAACACATCTTATTATAAAAAAGTTTCTCTTATTTGCTGTTGTTTCTTAGTACCTTGTTTACCCATTCTTGCAACACCACACATTTAGTCATAATAAGCTTTTAAGATAGATAATACCTGCATTTAGATATTGTTAAACTCCTGACCATGATACTAGAGTATTTCTAAATAGTAAAATGAAATAAATGAAAATGTTTAGTGACTGCACCATCCTGTAGAGTTGAGACAGTGTGCCAGTTTCCCATTCTCTGTAGAGTGATTCTGTTTATTTATTTATTTATTTTTGTAGAGTGATTTTAAAGATAAAAATTAAGTGATATGAAAATTGAATTAACTCAGGTGACTGTTTAGGGCCCTGAAATAACAATTCACTAAATGCTGCCTGTCAGGAAGCCAGTTTCTGTTCTAATTCATTATAATTATTTATTGTACTATGGTTTTCATTTACTTATATGCCATAGAAATGTAAGCAAATCACTTTAAAGACTTTTCTGGTTGGTAAGGGAGGTTAATTTTATGGGATTCTTGAGTGACTAAGGGAAAGTATGTAATTAGGAAAAAGAAATAATTAAATAAAAAAGAATATTCCTTGACCATAATAATATGGATTGGCAGTAAATGAAGGAAATATTTGATGCTCTTGTATCCAATTAATATTAGGTAATTCTGATAGGTTAGGGTAATTATTTCTGATATTGTAGTCTAAGAAATTGGTAGGTCAATTTCTGAGATTTTGTCATATTGCTCTGCAATGTTTATTTTTATGTGTTTAAATCTCAAGGCTTGTTTTTGTTTTTGTAAGTAAATATTATTTTGTTTATAAAGCATAAAGCTCCAGGACTGTGAATCTGACCCCACTCTGAATCTAAGTCATCTTTTAGGAGGTCATTGGTCCTTGCCACCCAGTATCTAGCTACTGCTCCCACCTGGTGGCTATAAGAGCCTGAAGCTTGAACTATAGAGGTTTTTTTTTTTTTCCCTGTCAAAACACAAACCTACATGTTTTGCCGATTTTTAAGAAAGAATGCATGCTCAGAATTTTTACAAATGTGATAATGCATAAAATATAAAGGAAATAGTAACCATAAATTTCATAACCTAATTACTTCAAAATAGCCACTGTTTAATGTTCTAGTGAATACCCTTTATATGAGGTTAAATAAGCTCAATAATTTTTCATGAAAAATCTTCACATATTATTAAATAAGTACACTATCCTTTTTAATGTCTTTATAAATGTTTATTATATGATAGTAATACAGGTCAATAAGTTGACTTCTTAAAATATATAAAAACTAAATAATTAAATCTCTTTAAACCCAAAACCAATATTACCTGGTTGCTGAACATCCTAGGAAATCTTATATTTCTCAAAATCCTAGCATGTTTGATCTGAATCATTTTTAAAAAGTAGCTATCAATCTTATATCTTTTCCATTTGTCAAGATAAGTGGCATGGCATAACATAAGTATGATTATTTCTGATGTAAAAAGAATTTTGTCTCTTTATGTTAACTGTCATATCTATTTTCTTTATGGTTCTGTTCTCTTTTACTTATTATGTCATCTGCTGTGTATCTTTAAAGTTACTGAATTTTACGTCTAAAACGTACCTTAGAGGTAATCTAATAACTAGTAGTTAAGGACTTGGCCCCTGGGGACAAGCTGCTACAAGTCAAATCCCAAATCTGTCCATTTCTAGTTACATGATCATGAACAAATTATAGTGTCCTTAGTTTCCTCCTCTGTAAAATGACAGGAATATTGTGAGGGTTAACTGACTTGGTGCACCTAGAGAATTCAAGTGCTTCCTGGCACATTGCACATATCACCCATTATCATTGGGATTACTAATCTAGGTTTCTGGAAATCATGATGTTCAGTCAGAGTGCTTGCTGAAGGGAATCAGCTAGTTAGTGGGAGAAATCATGCTAGGATTCATGTCTCCTTTATCCCAGCCTAGGGATCTTTGCTTAATGACAATATTTGTCTTTTTACAGCAGTGTTAAAGACCTCCTTAGGCACGAAATACATTTGAGGCACACCACAGCTCAGCAGGGACCCTGCCCAAAAGTCTCTGGTTCCCTGTTCCTCTCCCTCATAGCCCTCTAGATTTGTTGGCATGAAACTATTATTTGATCAGAACCTTGTCATTTCTGCAGTGCCTGCTATTCATATTTTGACCATAATACACTTGCATTATTATTGTAGTCATGCATCCCTCTTCTACAACTGTCAGTCTGTCCTCTATTGCTATTATTATATGATTTTCCCTCTCATTCCAAAAGGTCTTGAGTTTTAGACAAAAGCTCTTCAACCCTGTTTACGTCTTGGATCTGACTCCTGAAACTTTGAATCTCTTCCTGCTTAGCGCTTAAAAATTTCACAGTTGTCAATGGGTATAACCTGTGTCTGGTAGCTTTGCATCTGAACTTTCAAAGCCACCATATGACTTGACTCTACTAACAACCTGTTACCCTCTGTTTTCCATTTTCCATTTCCTCCACTGTTGACAGCCTGGTCTTCTGTACCAAAACCCTTCAGTTTTTACCTCTGAACCTCCTTTTGTTTGCTCTGAACACACTCTTCTATCCCAGCAGAGTAGACTTATATGAAAAACCTTTAAAACTGAACACTGAACACTGTAATATATATATACATATATATATACACACATATATGTATATATCAATATCTTCCTCTTGTATACTGACCTTCTAAAGAGGTTCAAAATTGTTTATTCTTTTGCTATGACTAATATGGAGACACATCTCTTTTAGTATTCTTTTTACATCTAGAGAATATTAATATTCTGAAAAAAATCAGTGTTCTATGAGTTAAATAATGAGTACTGACATAAAAGAAAGGCTTTTCTTTTTATTGTCTGTACAAGGAATCCAGAAATATCAGCAAAAGAAAAAAAGAAATTTCACAGTAAAATTGTGTCAAAATAATTCAAGGAAATGTCTATTTGTTACTCAAAAAGCTTAAACAGTCTGTAACACCATTCATTTATGTTACAATTTTCAACTTGTGTTTACAAAAACTGACATTTCAAACAACCATGTTCTCTAATTTCTTATGCTAGAATGACAGTGACCAAAGGAATATAATATTATTTCTAGTACAACACTATCCTCAGCCTCAAAATGCACACACACACACACATATACATACATATATATATATATATATATATATATATATATATATATATATATATTCCATCAGAGAGAGAGATTTTCCACTTAATCATATCAACAAGAAGAGGTAAGGGTAATTGGTGTGAAATGGCAATAAACAAGAGCATTGGCTATTCTGTGTGTTTGCATAAGTGGTTATTCCTGGGGTTAATTATACTTCCTCATAGAAATTTGGTAGTCACATGACTGAGCGTGACCTTGAATGGGTTAATCTTATCAAGTTAAGACACTTTTAGAATGGACACAGATGCCTGTTGAAACTTAAAAATACTAAGTCTAACAGGGCATGGTGGCACACACCTGTAATCCCAGTGGCTCCAGAGGCTGAGGCAGGAGGATCCTGAGTTCAAAGCCAGCCTCAGCAATTTAGTAATGCCCTAAGTAACTGAGGGAGACCCTGTTTCTAAATAAAAAAGTAAAATTTGGGGATGTGCTCAGTGGTTAAGTGCCCTGACTTCGATTCCTAGTACCAAAACTAACAACAACAAAAAAAAAAACATTAAGTTTGTTCCATTGTGACTTACAGTGAAGCAAGACCTCCACAGTTTATGATTCATTCTTTAATCAGGCTACAAATATTTATCTTCTTCCATTTCACTTATTTACTGATAGTTCACATCTATAGCTGCCTCTGTGCCAATCCTTAGCAAAGCAAGCCCAGGAGGAAATTGCAAAACTATAAACTATAAGCAAGATTTAGTATTTTTCTGATAGTCTATGTTTCACAATATCAACATTATTAGTTCTACATTGTTTTGTTTAAAACAAAAACTATTATAAAAATCTGTTTAAATAGATTGCCTTTATATTCCTTTGAATATTTATTTTGATAGATTTTTCAAGTGTAGACAACCTAAGAAATAGAAAACTCAACCTAAAAGTACTAGTAGCCTGTGTAATAAGTAGCCAAATATGTGTGTGTGTGTGTGTTTGTGTGTGTGTGTGTGTGTGTGTGTATGGGAAATGTGACAAGGACATTAGAAGTGATTTCTTTTAATGCTATAAATGATCAGTAACTTTTAAAATCTTGCTTTAGAATTAACACAGAATGGTAAATTAGAATAGATAATGTATACATGCATAAAATTGAAAAATATGTATCTTGATATAAAATAAAAAATTTAATTTGATTAGACTGTGATGATATATTTTTGACTCATCTTGATTTCACAAATAATTAACTGAATTATAAACTACATTTAATGTCAAACACTAACATCTGAGTCTAAAGTCACAATAGCCATAATTAGTACCAAAGAGAATAAAAGATTACAGGAAGACCAACATTCAGAAACTGCTCTCTACTTCTATTCACCTTAGAAATGTTACCTAAATTCCTAATGCCTAAGCTGTGCCCCTGAAAATGAGAAATAATTTATGTCCTTCCTTACCTCCTGAGGTTACAATGATAAATATGTAAAAGTGCATTGAGCTTTTTGTGATAAAAGGTACTATAAAAATCTAAGGTGTTTTTATTATTATATCAGTCAAATGGGATCTCAGACTCAGTTCCTTTTTGAAGATCCACAACATTTTATGGGAGAATCATGAAATTGTATTGGGAAATATATTGAAGTCACATAACAGGGCAGACAAAAGATTTTATGTTTTCTGGGGCCTTTGAAACTTGGTTACAATTAGAAATGTGAGAAGGTATTTATCATAGACTATGCCACATAGGACATTAATGAGAGCAAATTAAAATATTTAAAAGATTATGTAAAGGCAGGAATTCTAATTCTGGCTTCATCAAATAATGTGTTAAGATATCATTTTGTTTCCATAATTATAGTTATCTTGTATTGGTACTTCCTCCATTCTAGGAAGTTTGATTATTTTAACTTATGATTACATTTAAACTCATGGTGAACTTAAATTGATAATTATTATTATCATTGTATAGATCAGGAAACCAAGGATTAGAAGTGATAAAGTAATTTGTCCAAGGCCCTACAGTGGTGGAGTCATGTTCAAATCCACGTACATCTGAAGTCAAAGCCCAGGCTCTTAACAGTTTGCAAAACTGTAACTCCTAGAACGGTAAATTTACAGTGTCTATTTAATATAGGTTTTTTTTTTGACAATCTGTACTATTAAAAACTTATAGAAATAGTGTACAAAAAAATCAGAAGGAAATGCAATAACAAAACTCAAACATACTATGAATATTTTGTACATTCACTGGGCTATTTAAACCTCCCAAATTTTCCTTTTACTGGGTCTTCCTGAAAAGTATTCTGATTTGTATTAAGCTTTTATTGTCTCTTGTCTAATTCTATCATTCTGGCATATGATAAGCACTCAAAAGGTGCTTGAATCAAATTGAAATGAGTCTTTTATCAAAAATTCGGAGCAAATATTTAGAGATGGGAACTGATTATTGCTCATTTGACCTCTGATGATAAACATAGCATCTGGAAAGAAACAATTAGTTATGTCTGATATTTTGATAATCAAATTATTATAAGTTGTACACAAAAATATTACAACTTTTGGATTGTTCAAAACTTCCAATATTGTTGCTTTTGTATACCATAGAAAGGCTGTTTGCCTTAAGTACATACTATCTTATTTCTTCAGAGAGGAATTAATAATAGAAAATATTTTTTAAAATAAATTTTACAGTTTTGGGTATTTTATCATTTTCATCATTTACAGTAAATTGTTATGCCTTTAGAAACTGGATATATCATTCATTTGTGATAACAATAAGACAGAAATTGTTTTTATATTAATTTCATACTAAAACATTTTATTTAGAATCAGGAAAATATTTAAAGTTATCTTTTAGTTTTGGAAAGTTATAATAAGCTATATTCATGAAATATCTTTTTTTCACATTCCATGCTATAAAACTTAGTGAGAGTGCATATTTTTAGTTTTTAGGCAAATTCATCTTCAAAAAGTAACTTTTTACTGCATATATGAACAAAGAATAGTTTAAGCTGTTTATTGTGTATATATTGATAAAGGAAAACAAAAATAAAACTATAGCCTAAGGGTTCATTGAAGCTGATAATTCAAGCTTGTTTGAGAAATATCAAAATTCAGACTTGTTGTCTTTGCTTAAATAAATAAAAAAGAAAAAAATCAGACTTGTCAGAAAAATATCTTAAGATTATATTATAGTGCCCAAAATGCTGGAATTCATTAAAAGAACATTTCTTAAAATGCTTTTATAGTAGTCATTATTTAAACAAATATAACATTATGGAAAATGACAGTATGGAAAGGAAAACTTAGCTTACATAACCACAAATTTCTTTCTCATTAAAGGGTGCACACAATATTCATTCACACATACAGTTGAATTAAAAAAAAATCACAAACACCCGTTTATTGTTACATGCTATAAATGATTTTCACATATAACTATTCAACAAAAATGTCTTTGAGATTCTGACTTAATGACATATTTATTTGCTTCCCACCTTATGATTGATCAAATGATTTCAGAATTTAAGATTATTTTTAATATATCAAAATAGTTTAACAATTACTGAAACATGAAATAGAATTAAATTGTTTTCACCACTTCTTCCAACAAATTTATCTTTAATTTTTTTCCATACCTGAAAGTCATTTAAATCACTATAAAGCAACAGTTATGTGTATTCTAACATTAATTTAAGTTTTGGGGTTAAACAAAATAAAAATTGATTGATTTTTTAAAAAAACTGTATTAACTGTGTTGCTAGCTGAAGGTACCTTTGTATAAATGTTCCTAAGACCAAATAGAAATGCTGTGTAAAATGTAATACATCCTCTCATACACATCACAAACAAGCACAAATGAACAATCAATCCACTTAAATGCAAAGAACAAGGTACAGTACTGGGTCACTAGTAAATCAAGATGACAACATCACTGGCTATCTGCTGGTAATTTTACATTTTAAATTTGGGGGTTAACATTTATTCAAATATTGCATAAAATATTTCAAACCTCATGTTTATAAAAGCAGTAGAGGATGGTGGATATAAAACATGCTATATGAATCAGGTGGTGTCAGGAAACATACTTGGATTTGAGGGGTTCCTTACTTACCCTATTATAATGACCTGGGTAAAGGGGAGAGAGAGTTGAAATATAACTGTTTTTACTATAAGTAGCTAAGTAGACTCTTTTGAAGTTAGCCACTTATGCTATTCTAAAAATCACCCTGAACCCCTCCTGAGACCCAGTCACTTCAACAAATAGGCCAGATTAACTTTGGTTTTGAAAACTCCTGTACCCTGTTGATTTGCTTTTCTTAAAATGGAAGGAAAACTTTGGATGTCCCTTTGGGATCCACTTGGACTGCCCCACTCTGATAAAGATAATATTCCCTTTTATGCCACATTGGTTAAAATCGTTTCTTCATCTCTATAATGCCAACCTTCAAACAATTTCAAAGTTTATTTTTTGAAATTGTTTATTCATGGTAGTCATGATTAGGAATCCTGGCCATATGCCGTGTCCTTTTCTACTCCTTGTAGCTTTCCCTCCCCAAATAATTTTTAACTCCGTGGGCTCTTTCCTCTCACTGTTTTTACTCCCATATAAACAACCAACAAACAAACAAACAATATCCCCTTCCAGGCGCCCCCTCTCTGCTTGCTGAAAGCATTTTAATGACAGTTTACTTTAGCGGTCTATCAGCAGACTGCTGCCTCTGCCACCTGAATTTCAATTTCTTAATTTACAGCCCAGATAAAACAGAATGGAGCAGGATCTGGGCTGCTCTCTACATTGGGTTGGCCTTATCAAGCGTGAAGTTTGGCGCATTGCAAACCTATTCAAGTGATTATCTGTTGAGGACCTCTCGAGCCATCTCCATCTCTGCAGCAGGCTGATAAGACAGCTGTTTCTCTAGCCGCGGTGTCTCCCCGGGCCTCAGTCTTCTTCTGATACAAACTCTGCCTTTGTCACCGTGCCCCGGTGCTGTCACTTGCTCTGTGGGGCAAGGGTTTGATCTGAACACACGTGGGGGGCAAAGTGTGAGTGTGTGTGAGAACAGAGGAGGGAGGAAAGAGGATGGAGAGGCAGAATGAGGGAGGGGGTGGGGAGAGGAAGAGTTAGAGACCTGAGGGATGTTGGGGGCAGGGCGGTGTGCCGGGCGCAGTTGATAGCTCTGATTGACTGGTTGCTCAGCCCGGCTTTATTATTTCAAATTAGACGTGCATCGCACACAAGTGGAAACATAAATCTTCAATATAAGAGCGAGCCTCGGAGCATCGGAAGCAGAAAAACCGTTTCTTTCCAGGTCCCGGTAAAGGGACCCGCGAAAAGACTGATTGCTACCAGCTGAGACAGATGGTTTCCTTTAACTTTGGAAACTGCTATTTTTAATTACTTGTATTAATTTTGCATGAGATGTATTGGCTTCGAGAGGAAGCTTAGAGAGGGCTCTTAACACTTAACCAAAGAACCGGACACACAGCTTTGATTTGCCCTTTCCCACCTCCAGCTTTTCTTCACCCTCTCTGGGTTGCCTAGATGCCCCTTTGCATGCTAGCAGAGACGTGTGTTTTTCCTCCTAAAAGCTGATACTGAATAAAAGAGGTGAGGAAAATCCGAGGACATTCATAGGAGCTTTTACGTAAATGGTCATCTATCCGAGGCTGCAAATATATTTTCAGAGACGTCTGGGGCACGTGCAACAGATCTTAGTCTGAATATCTGCAGGCAAACCATCTAAAAGAGAAAGAGACTCATGCAAATTTTGCCAATAAAAAAAGTGTGTGTGTGTGTGTGTGTGTGTGTGTGTGTGTGTGTGTAGGGGAAGGAGTGACAAATTAGACCGGTCTGCAAGGTTTTGTGCCACACTACATTTATTTATTTATTTATTTAACATAAGAGATAATTCACATGTCTTTAAGTGTAAACGGCAACGTCAGAATTTAGGAGGAAATCTCGTTTGAGTGTGCGTCTTTAGTCTTTTCCCTGGAATAGGAGTTTAAAGACATGATGTAAAGAGAAAGTAAAGGATGTTTGATCCTGCTTGCTGCCGTCCTGGCACTGTCCCTTATGGAAATGTTTGCAATATAAAGGGTCATTTACAAAATAGTCTTAGACGCTACTCACCTTTGGATGAAAAGGACTTTGCCCCTTTGCCTGGCGGATGAAAAGAATTCAGATAATACTGGGGGAGGGGAACAAGTGTGATCCGGCAGGCGGTCTTGCATCCTTTCCCATTGGTAATTTCGAGGATATAAAACTCTGGAGGTTTATCAGACTTTTCGAAGACTACCTGGATTTGCATTTATTTTGTGTGAGCACTTTGATGAAAGCCATGCTCATCCAGGCAAGCGAAATGTATGTAAAAGAGGATGACAGTAGCAGGTGCCCTGTGAATTCGGGGCTCCAACTCTCCCGGCGGTGGTTGGTCATATGGCCCAGTCCTAACAAAGTCAAAACAAAGTCCGTGTTTCTACAGAGTAGGAGGGTGTCTTCCTCAAAATGCAGTGAAGCCAAGAAATGCTGTTTCTGTGTTTCACAAGAAGGGACAGAAAACACTGTACCAGGCTTAGTAAACTTTTATGCAGGCAGGGTCTGCTGGTCTCTGTCCATGGTGCTAATTCCTGCCTTATTTTCTTACCGGGTTGCCAGGGTCTAAACTCACATTGGTGTCAGTTTTCTCTACAGCTTTTCCTGTTTTTTAAACTGTAGGAGGAAAGTTAACATACTACTTTCAGAAGAATAAATAAAAGGGTAATTATCAGGTTACATAACATGTATATTTCTTAGGCAGGCATTAAACATTACATTCCCAACATTAACAAAACAAAACACCCAATCTGCCCAACAAACTAATGCAAAATATTTTCATTCATCTAAGAAGGTGTACTGTTTAGAAATTTCACTCTGAGCCTAACATTGTAAGCTCATTTACTTCTTTTTTACTTAAAAAAAACTCACATGTGGTTTATAGAACCCTTTTCTATAAAATATTAAAATCTCTCCCCCACCTTCAGAAGAACTAATGTGAGTGGGTTATTTATCTTAAACAAAATTGTTCACAATAGCTTTAAATATCCCTGAGAGGGGCTGTTATTTTGCAAAGAAACTTTAGTAAAATATTCAATTGAATTCATCACTTTTCAGCTTTTGAGAAACCCCCCCCCTTTTTTTTGGCAACTTTATCCACATCAAACTTTTCCCTAAGCTTTCAGTGGCTCCCTCAATCTTTCTTCTTTCTGCTGCAATTCAAAATAATGCCTAGGACTTTGAAGATATGTCAGAGCTAACATGTCTTAATCAAAACAGATATCTTTTAAATGCTTTTCTAATGCAAGTTCAGATGCTGTGGATAATTCTTTGAAGGAAGGGTTGATTGCATTTTTGCTTAATCTAGAGTGAAATGTTTGCACATAGCCTTCCTTAGTTTTAAGAAGTACAGTACATGTTAATATTTCAGACCATGACAAATGAATTTCAAAGTGAAATCTATATCCAGATATAATTTTTTTAAAAAATGGTTGTATTTAATTTTTCTTTTTAAAAGTTAGAAAACTACATGTTGCTTATGGTTATATCTGTTCACTTAAAGATTTTCAAAATTTAAAACATCTGTTTTATTTAGGAAATAAATTAATATTTTAGGATATTTTCAGTTTCTTAAATAATTGAAATTAATTTTACCTGTAGAGGAAAGACATGTGGAAGGTGACAATATTTTGAAAATATTTCTCTGACTAAAATGAAAAAGAATATGTGTATACACACATACTGAATATACAGAATTTATTATTTTGTATTTGAATAAACAAGTTTATAATTTTCCTTGTAGTATCTTTACATAACACACATGCTAGATTTTCATTACTTCATACCACTCATAGCTTTTGATCTCCCTATTCTTTTGGAAAACACAGCATTGTAATCTACCAGTCTTTCCAGTGGAGATTTCAACACACACATACACACACATTTACATACAAGCATGTACTTACATCAAAAAGTAAAACAAAGCATTAGTTTCCACCTAGTTAGAAGGCATTTATATAATATAATGGTAGAGATTTTCTTTACAGTACTAAGATTACATGAGCACATGCAACTAACGTGGTAGCAACTTAAAAGCATGGTAAAAAGGAAAAAAGACAATTCACTTCACAGATAAGTCTGATGAAATAAAATAGTATAAACTTTTACCCAAATTGTATTTATTTCAGAATTATTTCTTCGTACTGAGCTGGGGGTGCAGGGAGAGGTTGAAGGAAGAGATGACAACAAGCCCAGTCTTCTGTTATTCATACATCTATTATACGTAGGTATGATCTGTTTTTTTTCTAGACCTTTGACTCCATTTCTTCAAACTGCATTTCCCCTCTCCTTCTTCTTGCCCTGAGTTTTACCCAGGTTTAGAGAATTGTTTTAAATTAAAATTAAGACCCCAGGTGCTGTTGTTATATAAAAAGTGGGGATGGGGGTTAGGGAATCATAATTATAAATGCTAATTACAAAATAACTTATTCAGGCCTTCTTTCCCAACCCCCTGTGATTGTTATGCAAAGTAACAGAACTCAGACATTGTTATACACATCTATACAGGAGATAAACAGATCCTCTGTTCTTTGCCATTAATCATTTATCAACACTCAAGGACACTCATAAGGAACACTGATTTACTTCTCACTTCCAAATCATTTTGCTCTCTTACCATCTTTCTTTTTCCCCTCCATGACACTCCACCTTCCTGCAATCTTTAATTCTTACCTGTGCCTTCTCTCTCTCCCCGGCATTCTCAAAGCAGCGACTAGTAGTAAATAAACAGGTAAAGGAATTTGTTCAGAAGGCATGTGCCTTTAGAGAAGATTTAGCACATTGTTTGTTTAAGAAATGTAAGTACTGTCTAGGAAGTTGGCACTACCTTTCAAGATTGAAAGTAGAAATTCTGGCTGGAAAGAACATAGGTCAAGTGAATATCGTCTCTACTTATACATCACTAGAATCCCAAGAATCTCACTTGCACTTAGAAGAAGAAATAAATGTCATGAATAAAACACTGTATTCAAGTCTCCTGAATGTTAATAAAATATGGGGTTCTAATAAAGCAATCTTCATCTACAAAGTAGAAATGTTGACAGCACTTGGTCTTCTGGTTAAACTTTCTAAATTTTCAGAGAAAGAGCCTTGGTAAAGGTTCAACTATCTTTACTGTCAGCAATACACGTGTGGTCCAAGAACTGTACTGCCAGCAAATGCAGAAGAGTGGCTTATTCTAATTTTATATACAACTGTTCTTTTTGAGAGTCATCATACACCCTCAAGTCAAGGATCTTATTTCTACTCAGTACCTGTTTTCCTGGACAGGATGTTTATTCTACCCTTTTCTATTCTGACATGAAGTGAAAGCTAATTCAAACTGTGCAGCTTTATTTGAAAGCATTTTTTTTTTTACTTCTTTCTTAGCCCTAAAGAATGTGTTTTTAAAAAGAGAGATCTGCAACATGCATATATTAAAATAGAGAAATACATACAATTGCCTAATATCTCATACAGAATACTGGAACACAAATTGAAAAAGGCATGCGGGCAAGTAATGGATGTACATTCATCCTTTTCACTCAGATCAAAGAGAGTGAGCTCTCAATGACTCATACATACCGGACAGAGAGTTTAATGTTATAAAGAAATATGCCAAAGATGTAGCAGTGATGGCAAAGGAAATGAATCTTTCGGAAGCAGAAAGATTTAAGAGGAAAGGAGATCGTGCCTTATCGCAAACTCTGATAGTACAGTTCCAACCCTCCCACGTTGCTCTCTCCCCATCTCTTTTTGCTTCTTGCATTTCCCTTCGCCGCCTGTGTTAAGTGTGTACCTCCCCGCACAACTTACCTTGAAACGGGACTCCATTGAGCTCTTCAGAGTGACACAAGCTCGTAGCCAATCGTATCACGCAGCCTCTTCTGGGCGGACTCAATGGGGGCAACTGGACCAATCAGAAACCTGGAGCAATAAGCAAGTTGCGTTGTGGCACGACTCGGCGTATACTTCCGCGCGTGCTGCCCGGGATAGGAGCCTGGCAGAGCAGCTGCACACACGGCAGTGCGGAGGCAGAGAAGGGGTTGGTGATACGGTGCTATAAATCTGTGGTCCAGTCCACCTCCCTTTTAAGACGTCCTCCCCCCTTATTTCTCTTCTCACTTAGAGATGCAGCAGCTTACTCCTGTAGCGACCTACTAAAAAGCAACAAGGAGAAAGACATCGTCTTTTTGAAAAAAAAAACCAAAACGTTCTTTCGTCTCTTTTCTTTGTTCCTTGGTTTGTTTTTCTTGCCCCTTTTTGTTTAGTTGAACGGCAATAGGAGGATAGTCTCTCCGTCTTTTTAAACTCTTTTTTAAGTTCCCCCTCCCCTTCATATTTTTTTTTCACCATTTCTTTTAGCATTGGACTTTGGGGTCGAAAGCATTTCTTTTTATTTGCTTCTTTTAAGCCGAGCACAGTTTAGGTTTCGTGCTGTCTTAAGAGAACTATCCAGCAGCTTCTTGCTCATCCTTATTGGGAGAACTGCACCGTTACTTTAAAAACACACATACACAAAAACCTTAAGGGAGAAAGGTAAGTTTCGGTTTGGTTTCTTTAATCATTAGTTGCAGCGATGTGCTGGCAAATCCAGAAAACCTGTAAGTGAGCGGAATACAGAATATGAAGTTAATTGCACATGTTTGCCTCATTTCAAAGCGATTACTCTGCTTTTTAATTCTGGAGAGCTAGACTAAAAGACAGTGGACGCATGCTTAACATACTGAATGTTCCAGGATGTTAATGGCAGAAACTTAAGTGGTAAATGTGGCCAGTGTAGAGCAGGGGTACAATGGGAGGCTAGATGTTGAGTGAGCTTCGGGATGGAGGTTGGAAGTTCGTTTCGTGGGAAGAGAGGGATAACTTAGGGGGGATGCATGCCTCTACTTTCGCAAAGGAACCGGAGGACCAAAGAAGCTTTAGTATCATTAAAGGGAATCAGAAGCCCGGACTTACAGATTAGACTAGAGGAAAAAAAAAAAAAACTGGCTTAATTGCATTAACCAGATAGCATGTGCTGGGGAGATGGGATTGCTAGATGGAATTTAGATGCTGCACAGGCAGCGAGTTGTAGTTGACTGAAAAAAGTACATGCCGCCTGAGGGCTGGTGCTGGGCTGGGGCTGGGGTGGTGAGAAGCTGTCAAAACTCATCTTTGCTAGGTATGCGGGATCTAATTCACAGACGCCAATTACCGTAATTCAAATTTAAAAGAAGATAGTCAATTTGGGGCGGAATCTTTAAGCCTGTACCGGATATGAGATTCCCTTTGTTCAGAAAAGCGTAAATAAGATCCTTGGAGCTGTGTCTGTGAAGTGGCGGCTGCCTGGGAACCTCGCTGTGCTGGTCGCTGGGAAGTGGTTTCCAAGCCCTGTCCTTGGTCCTACGCGGCTGAGTTCGCCTTCGGGGAAAGGGGGAACCCCTTCGCAGCCGCTAGGCTTTGCAGCCACCCCAGGAGCCAACTCGGCTGCGTAGCCCTCACCCCCTCCTTACCGCTCCCCTTCTTCGAATAGCTATTGTTAAACTGACGCTGTGAGAAAGATGGTTGGGAATGAGAAGCTGGGCATACAGGCATAAGGTTCATTTTAACTTTTGTGATCTCTCAGGGTTTAGGAGAAACCAGCTGGCTTTCTACTGCGAAAAAGCGAATTCCGGGTAGACATGGGAAAGGTGAAGGATGTTTATGGGGCGGGGAGGGCGGGGGTGGTGGTGGATGGAACGAGGTGCTGGCTTTGCCTAAGAGAAGTTTAAATTATTGGCACGAAGGGGTGTGGGTGAGTGTGTGAGTGAGAGTGCCTTTGAGGCAAAGGATGGGAAAATGTACACAGCCGGCTGAGGTTAGTTTCTCCTGCTCTCCACCCCACCCACCCTCTAGTTTGGAAAAGCCAACCCACTGCCAGCCTCCCCTAGACTGGACTCTGTCAAAGGATGGTGGGGGCGAGCCATGACAAGGTGGCAGTGCCCACCCTGGGCGCTCCGCGGCAGACAGGACCTCATGTGGCCATTGTTGCTTAATTTATGCCCAGCACGTTGCTACATACCCACCTATTTCACGTCTGTAAAGAATTAATAGGAAAGCTCTACAACTGGCAAATCGGGGGTTGGATAAGTTCCCCGTTTTCCATTTTCAAGTACCAGTTAGCAAAACTGATGTGGAGACCGGGTATTTTCTCTTGTAATTAAGCTGCAGGTCTGGCTTTACTGTGGTGAGGGTGAGAGAAATAGTCAACCATTTAGTGTTTACTCTTGACACTGCTGGACGGGGATGGATGTCTCTGTACTTCCTCCCTGAAATGCATGGCTTCTTTCCCTGCCCCCACCCATGCATGAACATTCAGATTGTTAAGATTCTACACCTTCAGTGCTTCTCCACACCCCTATTTATTATACCTCTCCCCAGGAAGGTGGGGATGAGAGATGAATATGTTTTATTTCATAGGCCTACAGTATTGACTGCAGCCTATTAAACGTAGGCTTAAAATGAAATGGGGGAGGGAGTAGTACAGAGTAGAAAGTAGTAGCCGAAGAAATTGTTTTCCTAATTGAAAATCAATTCTTAAAGGTCAGAAAAAGGGTGTTTGTGTTTTGGGAAACGGAAGTGTAGGAAATCTGCCTGGGTCCATAAGACTTCTTTGTAAAATGGCTTCTTTAATGGGACATTTGAGAGATCTGTCAGAATTTGAGCAAAAAATTCCGCAAAAAAAGGTCAAGTGTTTTAAAGTCATCTTTCATGGGATTCATTTTTTTAAAGAAAAACTATTGCTCTTAGTTTTTTTCTGTTGTTCCTTGAGTCTGTCTTAACAGCGGGCCCTTAATGGCTTCTCCTTCCCTCTTCCAACCTAGTGCTTGGGCATCCCGCTTTATAAAGCTAACCTGTTCTGGAGTTCGACATGAAAATCAAGACTAGACAGAAGTGTTTTGGGATACTTGGGAAATTGTTGAGAGAGATGTCTCCCCTAACTTGAAGAAGATAGCTTCGGGAAGTAGGGTGTAGAACCTTCTAAGAGTTTTGGGTTTGGACTGGCAAATTAGGTAGGCCCATTTTCGCCTAATGTTTGAAAACTGGCATCTTGTCAATCCTGCCTGCCCAGGAGGGGAATATTATAATTAACTGTTTAGAGGGAGGTCAAAGAAGCTCAGGCACTTTAAGTAGTTTTCCCAGGAACCTACACAAAGTCAATTAAGGTCACTTAATTGTAGATCTGTTTTGGGGTGACACAGAAATGCTGATATAGAACCGATTAGCTATTTCCGGTGTTCCTAGTCTGGCTTCCCAAAATTGAGGGACGGCCTGTCTCTGTTTCGCCCATGGTCGAGTCCCTATTTTACTATGCCTGATTTGACTTCGCTTAAGAGGGTAAATTTGCCTTCCCCACTCCCGCCCTGGGTTAGAGAAATCCTCCTCCCTCCCTTCCCGCCCCGCCCGTCGCGTGGGGGCGGGGAGCGCTGGGCGCCCTTAGCGGACCTTGCTGCATCAAACCCGCATCATGCCCTTGAAGCTGTAACCTCGGTCACGTTCTTGCAGCTACTCAGTCGCCCACTGCTCAGTTCCTTTCTCTTACCTCTTGCAATTTCAGGTAGGTATGACAGGTTATATATTAAACGTAGTTTTTTTTTTTAACTTAGGGGGAAGGGTTAAAAAAGCCTTTGCTATAAAAAAATAAAATCCCAGTACGACAGGTGCTCTAATGATTAAGCGGCCGAGCAGGTGTAAAAACGTGCTCTAGCCGCGTGGCTCAGGGATCGGTTTTGACTCTGTTACAGGTATGGGTTGACAGGCACAGGTTTTTCTGGGGTAAAAAGGATTGAGCTGGGCGAGGGGGCGGGTCTAGGGAAGGCAACGTTGGGACGCCCCCTCGGTGAAGAGTTGGCCGTTTCGGGGCTCTAGTGGGGGGCACTGGAAGGATGTGGCTAAAGACAGACGCACAGTCGAGTGCAGGATTTCCTACTTGGCATTTGAAGCAGAGTATAGCACCCCTCACAGGTACTCGGGGGCTTATTTAAATGTCAGATTCCATCGAGAAAGGTAGGGAGGGGCAGCAGAGACTAGGCCTTAGTTTCCCGTCGAGGGACAAAATCTTTTGGTTGTTAAGTGGGGGCGGGGGGAAAGAAGCCTTTTAACTCTACTTGCAAAATGTGTGTGTATACGTAGATATGGTACACAGTACACATATATACCAAAGTAACCCTGGCGCGAGCTGCTTTGACTCTGCGTTAGCGCTCAGAGCCTCGGGGTTTGTAAACTTGCACCTGGAATTGGCCGCTTCTGGGCTCGGGACTCTCTCCGCACGGTCTAGTGAAACCCTGTCGAGGAGCCTGGTGGGAATCGGAAGCCCGGAGGGACCGAGCTGAGCGGCTCAGTCCGGCGTCTCCCCGCAGGCACCGACCGGCGGGGTGGCCCGGCGGGGCACGCGCCGGCAGCGGCCGCAGCGCGGCGAACTCGCCGCGGGCCCCGCCTCCTGGCGCTCTTCCAGGCAAGCCCCTCCTCCCCGCTCCGCTACAAACGGCGGGACAGCGGCGCCGGGGCGTCACTAAGGCAGCAGCCAGCCTGGTGAGGAGGGTGGTCGGTGGCTCGGCGCGGGTGGGGCGGGGTTCCGCCAGGTTCCAGTCCGCGTTCCCGCCGCTGCCGCTGCCTCTTCGCGGAACCCGCCCGGAGCGACTCCTCCGCGGCTTGTGCTGTCGCCCGGCTGCACGAGCCCTAGTAGCTGCAGCGCTTAGTCGTAGCAGGCAAGTGCAGGGGGCGTGGGGGCAGGGACGGCGGCTGGGCTTTGCCTTAGGTGCTTTTTGGATGCGGAGGTTAAAGGCTGTGCACGCCACCGCGGCTCCTTACTGGGTACGGCCTCGGCTCGGAAACGCTGGTGGGTGCGGCGGAGGTTGTGTCCGCGAAGTTCCTAGAGCTCGGCCTCTTGCAGCGGGAGTGGAGGGCACAGAGCGCCTCGGGAGGTGGCACCGCCCCTACAGTGGGCACCGACTGGTTGGGGGCGGCGGGAGCCAAGCTGGGCCAGTGGCGCCAGAAAACGTGCAGGGCGTGGACGTGCCGGGGTACGGCCGCGTGTAGTGCGAGAAGCAAACTGCGCCGAGACGCAGGTGAGTCTATTGGAGGGAAAGTGGGGGAGGGGGGCTTTCTAGAAAAAGGGCAGGATTCCTGTAGAGGACTGGCGACCCCGCCTCGTGGGAGGATGTGGGCACTGCGTGCTTCTGCCGAACACACCGAGGTGTTTAGCGTCTGGTGTGTGCCCACTTAGTACGGCGCCTCCTCGCGCGCGGACCTTGGAGCTCCGGAGACATCTGGAGACTTGCAGCAGCCACGCGGTGTGCCGAACGTGGCGTGAGGCCGTGGGCGCTCGGGGCAGGAGCATGATTTTTCCCTAGTGCGCCTTAGGAGGAGGTCGGGCGCAGCCACGGGAGGTCGCGTCTCAGGTCTGCGCGGTCCGTGCGCTGCGCGGGAAGCACGGACGCTGTGCCCGGCCAGCAGGCTCAGGGATTCAGTCATTAGAAGTGGTTGGATTAGTTGTTCTCCCAGTTCAGCCAGGGGGACTCCACCAGTTGTGGCTCCAGTGCACTACAAGTGTTTCTGTGATGGTGAGATTGGAGGAGGCAGGAAGACCAAAAACAAACAAACAAAAAAACCTCGGTTTACCCGCAGGTGCTTCTCCAGCTGTCGTGACAATGACCATCAAACACTTTCCACGGAAAAGCCTACTTGTTATCCTTGAGGGCCAGAGCTCAACACCATGCCTCTAGGTGAGAGCTTCTCACCTGGAGTTGTAGCCTTCCAAATGATAATTTAAAATAGGGTAAATATTTAAATACCATCTTTATGGTAAAATATTTCATCTGCTGTCTTCTCTCTACGTTTTCTGAAAATGTGGGAAAAGGAGGAATTGCTACCAGTTACCTATCCTCCTTTTTACCTCACCAAAGAAGGTGCTTAGCAATGCCAAGATGTAATGCCAAGGACGAAAGAGCTTTTTAACACTTATTTTTTTTTCTGCGATTCTACCCTTAATCATTTTGTCTTCATAAAAATGTAGCTCAGCCTTAAAACTTAGGGTAAATAAAGTCCATTTAAAATCATTTGAATGCTAGTTGGGGGTAATTTTCCTAATCCCCTTAAGTAAAATCTGTTTGTTTCAAATACTGTTTAGTTGCCCTTGAAGGCCGTTTCCTCAAGAATTGTTTTCCAGAGTCCTTTGAGTTTGGTTCTTATGCAAGGTGGTGCTTCACGTGGAAGCTGACCTGGAGTTTCCATTTTGGTGAACTGGTGGAAAAACTCTTCTGGATCTATTTTTTCTTCTGGCCCTCTGGGTATACAAATGGTGACTATCTTGCTGAATGGACCTAAATGTTACTGCATTAATTTGGGCTGTTCTTTATTAGGAAGGTTTGTAGGCATGTTAATTGAACACTGCTCAGGTTGGGGGGGGGTATGCTTAGAGAAGTTCTCTTGGAAATGGGGGTGGAGGGAGGAAAAGGGAGGAGGAAGAAAACATCTGGGAAACACAGGCCTGTGATGGGTACAAAAAAATTAGATTATGAGGAAACCATTATATCCAATTTTCTGTGTTTCCTCTCTTCTTTTCCTTATTGTTTGTGATTAAACGGGGCTTCTTGTTAACCTAGTTGGGTAACTTTGTGCTGCCACCTTTTGGGGAGTAAACATTTTTTTCCTCTTCAAAGACAGAACCTTAGGCATTTAAGACCCTGTTTCCTCTCTGACCTCTAGGTATTTCCTCCACTGTGTGGTGTATGCTGTTAGGAATCCTCAAGTCAGCTGTTGGGGCAAGAATATGCACAGCTCTAAGGTTCAGAGAATTTTAGTTTGAGGATATGCTGCTTCTGTGGAACAAGAAAACTGTGCTGATCATTATTGTCTGCCAGCCTACCTGTTAGTCACTAAAGAACCATAGTTTCCCTTTCAAGACCCAAGACACCTTGTAGTTTCCTTTTGGTTTTGGTATGTTGGTTGGTCATGTTTAACACCGCTGCTTTCATAGAGAAAGAAGATCCTGTCTCTTTTTCTGTGGTTTTAGTTAAGACCCAGCTCCTAGTAATTTTAGGAAGAATAATACTACCCCATTTCTTGAATAATACTACCCCAGCCAGAAAAACAGATGTTTCTGGCTGAATCCTTGTAATCACCTTCAGCTCTTTTAGCCTTTGGAATTTTACTTGTTAACATGAATATGATTTGTAAACAATGCTTTCTCAGATGCAAGTCTCAAGTTCTCTTCAGCGACATGACAGAACCATCCAGAAAACCCAGACTAATAAGCTAGGATCAATCTTTTTTCTTATCTGAAATAATTTTTTTTTAAACCTGTGATGCTTTTCAGGCATTAGCATGGCACAAGAGCATGGCAAATTATTCTTAACTCTTTTCCCCCAAAGAAAGGTACCATTCACCTCTTTGATCTCTTGTCTGCATGATAGGTCATTGCTTTTGTTCTCATTTTAAGTACTATTAAATCTACCACATCATCACATTCTTTCTACCACCTTTTTCACTTATAATATTTGCATGGAAGTGAGAGAGGGAAGTGATGTAGCCTAGTTAGCCTGGTCAGGTTATTTTTTTCACAGCATTGTAGGGATTGTGTAGGTGGGATGATACTGGGCCTGGGTGGTGTGCCACCCTGTGGAAAACCTGCCCATAGCAGTCCATCCCAGCTCTTTCTGTTTCAGATATTCTGCTGGAAAGGCTAGATACCATGGTAAGCAACTACATTTCGTCTTTTAAAAAATTTTAGTTAGCATGGGTATTTGGTTAGAGACGGGGCTTCTTTATGGGCTTGTGACCTATGTAGTTGTACATTCCCCCATCTTGCAATACTTTAGAATTTTTGAATAAGAGACCCTTTCTTTTTTTCTTTTCTTCAGTGATGGAGATTGTACTCAGGAGCACTTTACCAGTGAGCAACATCTCCAGCCCTTATTAATTTTGAGATGGGGTCTCTCGCTTCTTTGTCCTGGCTGGCCTTGTATTTTCAATTCACATATCCTCGTTCCTCAACTTCTCAAGTAGCTGGCATTACAGACACATACTATTGCACCTGGCCTGGGACCCTGCATTTTTTTTTTTTTTTGCATTGGGATCCTCAGATTATGTAGTTTATCCTCGTTTGATGCTTTTCCAGTTGTATTTTGTTTTGGTGATATGTTGTAGAACTGTTAGCAGGCTTTGTGCAGTGGAGATGCCACACCCAGCTGTATGGAAGACATAAAATGCATGGAATGTTTTGGTGGGTTTCATTTTACTCATGTGTAAGTCTTCACTGGTTCTGGTTATTCCCAGAATCCATATTTTGTAATTTATTGCCAAATCTGCCATTTTATGTGTTTCTAATTTGGGAAGAGCATTTATTGTGGATTTGTTTCGAGATCCTAGCTGGTTTACAGTACTAGTTGCTTATTCTTTTTGGATTTCAGGTAATATAAATTTGCTAAGCAGAAGCAGAGGGCACGAAATTGAAAGACAATATTTGCTCTAAGGCTTTTTCAAATTAAAGTGCAGGTTTTATTATGGTTTAAATGGTAACTTTTGGACTCTGATCTAAAAGTAGAAACTGATATAGTAAAAATCTTAGGTTTTATGAAGTATGGGGGAAAATTTTCACAAAAAAATTAACAGATTTGGCTGATTGGCAACATAACTTTCATTTTAGTAAGGTCGCTAGGTGAATCTTATTTCAAGGGAAATAAGAAATTATCTCAAATCTTGTATCATGCAAAACAAAAGGTGGCTCTTGCTTGAGTAACACTATGCTAGATGCTTTCTTATATGTGTCTTCCCCTCAATACCAATGCTAAACTTCTGGAGATAGGTCGTTATAAATATATCTGTTTTTGGAAAGGGTGTTATTTTCTCAGAGCTCTGGGTTAGACTGCATCACTTTCACTGGTGCTCTAAACTACATGTTTCTCTTTTGAATGTTGCTGAGTAGTTCTATGACATGCATAGGTATTCATTGTAAAATATCCTCATGCAGAGAAGAATAGGGGCTTTGGGAAGGAGAAGAATAGGTAAAACAACCAAGAAAGTGGCATGGGATTAAAACCAAACCAGTTTGTAGATTGCTTTATTAACAGCAAGTCAACTATGGTGTTGTCTTCTTTTGTTTTTTAGTCTTTTCTATTATCCAATTATACTACTGATTTCTATCATCAATTTCTGACTGAAAATAACAGATAAGATTTGCGGGTAAAACCCTCTTTCGCAGTTTTAAAGAGTCTTTATTTCACAAAAAGACTCAATAGACTTGTTTATGAAAAAACAATAAACACTTTTAAAAAACATTGATGGTTTTGCTTTATCACCAGGTACATTTTAGATTTCTAGGTTGAGGTACTTATGTATTTTTCTTTCATTGAACTTAATACTGCTAGATTAATACTTTAAGGCTTTATTCTTTGACTTAAGAGTTTGTATCAGAAAAAGGAAATTTGAATTCTAAATGACTAGTTTTCTTTTTCTCCAGGTTTTTGTTTTTTTTTGTGTGTGGGCTGTTCATTATTTCAGCAACTTTAAGGAGGACATTAGTGAAATATCACAGAAGTCTGTATTTTCACAAACATCAAACAGGTAAACTATTCACGCAGGGTGGGATTCTATTTCATTCACTTATTGTTAATAGTATCAAATTCACTTAAAGCTTGGGTAGACAATTTGACTGATTTTTACCTCCTAAGGACAATGGGGTGGGGAGTGTTTGGAATTTTTAGTTTTCCTGAATCCCCTTATTATAGAGTCATCGTAAAGTTGAAACTTGTTAATATTGAGGAATCTAAGTGTAGCTCTTCTCTCCCTAGAGAGATGCACATGCACAGAAAATTTTATACAGTTTACAGTTTTGTCCTCTGAAGATTTGTTAAAATGGGGTTCTGTTTGGAAAACAAGGCTTTAGAAATAGGAGTTGTCTTTCACTAACTGGTAGGATGAAGCCATTAGGTTCTTGTTTGCCCTTGAGTTAGTGATGGGGGCCTTTAAGCTTTCTCGTAGGGATGATTCCAAGTTTGCCTGGCTTCTCGTAGTTTGTTTTAGAATCTATCCTATTTTTGTAAACAAATATTACATGTGTAAGTTCTTCTTGTGAGCACAGCGCTGCCAGTTTATCTGCTGAGTTGTCTTGCCTCAGTAGGTTTTGTCACATAGGTTGAAATTCTTAATTTAGCAGCACCAGGTAGGAAATACTAGATTGGAAGTCTGAAATAACCTGCATGTGGTTTTGACTCAATTACCTATGCCCTTGGTTTCTTAACCAGTGTGTGTATGTAAGTAAACCCTCCCCCCATCTCAAGAATTGGGTAAATAGTATATTGAAGTACAGCATTTTTGGGCAATGTTTACTGTCTGAAATGGTGGTAATAGGTGGACACTATAGATTAGTTTCTGGCTTTCAGTGTACTGTGATTATAAGGAACTACTTTTAGTGATTCTTTGTGTTCTGGATGGAACCTAGAGCCTCTTGCTCATCTATGCAGCTTATCTATACCACGGAGCTAAACCCCCAGCTCAATAATAAACCATCATGCGTTTATTTCTGCCATGGAGGAAAAGAAAAATGCCAAAGTACAGGAGGTTTTGAGAGTTATGACTTGGAGATTTCAGTTTGGAAATGGATATATTTTAGATGGAAGTTGGAGAGTTTAAAATGCATTTTCCTTGAAAATATAAATAACAATGAGGGTCTCCCTCCATTTCCATGCACTTTCCCTTTTCTCTCCCTAATGTATGAAATATGATATGTCAAAAGAGCTTTGTAATGTTTTAAACAACCAATAAAAAAAAAGAAAATATAAATAATGCTGAAAGATGATGTGATATTATAAGAACATAATCGGCTAACATTCCAGGAATATAAATTTATTGTTTTGGATATTTTTCAGTAATTAAAATTTTAAACATAAGCATTTAGTAAAATTATCAGTCTATATTTTCTTGATTTCAATTGTTTGAATTTTATTTAATCCCTTTCCAAGGATGTATTCCTATATATCACAAAATGGAGTTTACACAAATACATATTTTCCTCTGCTTGTTTCAATTCCTTTTCACCACCCCAAGTGAAAAGTCATTGATGGATGTCTTGCCAAGTAAGTTATTGGAAATTTCTCACTTGTTCAGTTCTTAAAGGATGTTTAACACTTTTTTCTTTATGCATCATTTGTGTATATCAGAAGTACAAGAGATATTTCTCAAAGCAAATAAATCACAGCATATTTGAAAATAAATGCAGTGAATTGAGTTTAGTGGGGGAAATATTCCTGGAACTGATCATACTTTTTTTTTCCCGTGAGCTGCTTTTCAAAATAGAAAAAGGTGATGTTTTTCTGTTTTAGTGATTTATCTTTACTGAAAGTATCTCTGCTGACATGGGTGGGGGTCACCCATCTTTATTGCAGAATTGTCCAGAACAGGTAAAATATATAATGTTATAGAGTCAACATGTTTTTAATAACCTATTCTCAGTTAAGGCCTATTTTTGAGTTTTCAACCATTTCTTTACTTTCCAAGTGCTCCTTACTGATTGCTGGCTTATTTTTTTTAAACCCTTGGGGTCCTTTCTGGCCTTTGGCTATGAATGACTCATGGACTTTTCCCAAATACCAGGTCAGCAGTGTTTTTGACTTTCATCCTTCCCTACCATTGTCTGTGCAAGAAAGTTGAACTATCCAGAGCTTTCCTCTCTGCTGTATGAGCCCTCTGTACTAGCCTCTGTCCCTCCTTTATGCTTCTGGGTCTTGTCCTAGTTCTAGTCTTGGTAATTTTGGGTCAGGTGCAAGCCTACTCATTTGTCCCTTTAATTTCTTCTGCTTGCACTTTTACATGGTCTCTGATTTGCATTTTACATTGTACTCACTGGAAATATCTTCTGGGTCCAAGTGAATCTCTGCTGTTAGACGAGCGGGTATCAATGGACAAATTGTGCTGCAAGTCCCAAATGGTGATTCACGGGCAGCATATGGCCTATTGCTATTTAAAATTTGGGTTGAGCAGTGTTTTCAGAAATAGTGATTTTTTTTTTTTTTTAAAGGGTTGTGAAATATAAAGATCCAGAGGCACATATCTTGTCTCTGGAAAAGTTGTAGAGACCAAGCAATACTGAATCCACATTCATCAAGTGCCCCCTTAAGATGAAGCATGATTTGTTTCACTTCAAAATAAGTCACTAGATGTTTGTTTGTTGCTACAGTTCCTGAAGCCATGGGAATTAATACTATACTCACATACAAAGAAAAAGCAGATAGTTCTGAATATTTTGTCTTTTGATTTCTTTGGGTTTGCAGATAATGTTTGAGTTATGTTAGATTGATCATTATAATTTTAGATTTTTGTAGTCTCCTTTACTTCAATTAGGGAAATCTTGTCTTGCGCCGCTTCTCCCTTAACTTCTGATTGTAAGTCATTTTCTCCTCCTAGTACAAGATGCATTTCCATCTGCCTATCTTACCTTTTTTCTCTTTTCTCTAGATCTGGGATTCTAGATCTGTCCCTATTGGGATTGGGGATTTCTCCTTGCCAGTTCCTGGCTTCTGTTTGTTCAAATGCTTTGGGTCAGCAGCAGATTCTTGTTGTGAAAGCTGATAGGATGTTATGAGCTGTTTATAAGAGGCTTGTGGTCCACCTGCTAACTACTCCTTGATGGTGTCAGCTTAGAAAGGAAATTCTCTCTTCAGATATCTTTAAAAAAAAAAAAAAAGCTGATAGGACAGGCTACTAGGTGTGAGGTTTATATGTGTGTTGTTTCTTTTTGCCCCTCATTCTTTTCCTCTTGAGCCTTTTCTCCTGTCTATAGAAACAGTTGGGTAGCTTTAGCAAAGTCTTCTCCCATGTGTGCAGTTGAGCAGGCTGATGCGCCAGCAGAAGTAGAAGGAGGTTCCACATGTCATGTTTGGACCAATGCTGTAATTTTATTTTACAATAAGGAAGGTGGATATTATTAATCTGCTCTTCAGTGTAATAGCATGATTTGAATAGCAGAGAGCAACTTTGGTGTGTGTTAATGTCTGGTGAGATGAATACATATGAATGCTAAGTAGGTGGAAGATGTCAATGTAGAGCCTTCCTTTTGGTGACTTTAAGCACTTATATTTCTAGTTAACTTTTTGTTCAGCCTGGCAAACAGATACAAAGATCTGTTTTATCAACCCAGTATTAATGTGGCTTCTCAGGATGAACAATGCCCATAAAGCTCTGCTCTCCTGGCAGCCACTTGAGCTAGGCCAGCTATAATGATAAATTAGAATGTGTCCCTGTATTGAACATCTTAGCAAAACTCTTCAGAATAATAAGGGCTAAATGCTGACAGTTTTAAAAATTGGTGCTGTCTACAGCCCAGCTTATTTAAACACACACACACAGAGTGTGATTAAAAGTATATTCTTACTTTAAAAAACTAATTTTGAATTTTAACTATTTTTTAAAAAAAGGTACATGGTTTTTGAAGGCACTTGAAAATTCTTGATACTAAACACATTCCATGATTACATGATTCTTTTAGAGCAATACGTTCTTATTTTTAATGCTCTCTTATAGCATATTGTTTAGGGGGTCACCAAGGTTTCTTAGTTATTGTATGTGAATTGAAAATTAGTGAAACAAAAACTATCTGGCATGTTTTATGTCCCTGAAGATTGGGAATCAATTTAATGGAGCTTTTATTGCACATTCAATCAGAATGATTGATAGGAGTAGGTTGGTCGTTAACCTGGAGTCTAGACCTTTTCTAAATTCATCTGTGTGTATGTTTTAGTTTTGTTAAAGAATAAAAAAAAACAAAACACTTCATGTTTTGTATTGGCATTATGTTTAAAAGCCAGGAAGTTTGTGTTGTACTTACTGTTTCTTCACCTGTGACTAGAACAAGATACTGGGGGAGCTTTAGAGAAGTTTATAGGGCATTCTTGTCTTCATATAGTATTCCTTGCTCTGTCTGCTTAAGGATAGGAGGCAGAAAATACTAGTCTAAAAAAATCTCCTCCCGCACACCTAGGAGTTTTAACAGTAGAAAGTGAGTGCTTGAAAAATTGAAGGGCCATGTCTTTGTATTCTGGACATCAGGAAACAGGTCGGGTTGTTAACATACTGCTTTGGGGAGTTCTTTTGCTTTTGTGTCCCTTTTCCTCCCCTTCTTCCATGTCATTTTTGTGCTTTTGATTCTCTTGTGGTGTTAGTAACTATTTCCTAGTTTGTCAAGAGCCCAGTCATAGGTGGAAATATTTATGCAAAACCTGCCAAATTTTAAGTTGTAGCTCAAGAGAGATGCTGCTTTGACTGTCTTCATTCTGCTATTGTCCTAGAAGAAGTGATCCATGGCATATATGTGAAACTCAGCCTTACCCTTGGTTTGTGTCTCAGCAACATTATGTGCCAGCAGCCTTCTCTGAGTATAATATTTATTTTGTAAAACACCTAGGAAACAGGCAATAATTATGTTTCTTTGGCTCCTTTGCTCTTAGGAGTGCAGTTCCAGGAGTGAGAGGCAAGTTACAGGTCAGAAGCTGGAATGTGTTCAGAAGATAGATCTGTACCTTCTCCTTGAGTTTTCTTCAAGAATTGAGCCATGTCCTCCAGGAGCAAGT